ATTTCTACTTTTATTCTTTAATTGATAATATATTTTGACTAACCCTTAGTGCACATAAGCATGATCTCTCCAGACTATGCAGGAAAATGGCCTTGGACATTCTTCTCCTCCTCCTCATCTTCCTCCTCCTCCTCCTTTAATTGTTAACAAATTATGCCTCATTCTGTCTGTACATAAGCATGATCTCTCCAGACTACACAGGAAAATGTCCTTGCACATTCTCCTTCTCCTCCTCTTCCTCCTCCTCCATCTCCTCCTCCTCCTCCTTCTTCTGTTGTGGGATAAGCCTCAGGGATGTTGGGATAAAATGGGTGAAAAAATAAACAGGTATCCTTGATTTGTTTCTTTCTCTACTGGAACCAAGTTTTTAAGAATTAAGTATGATACTTACTCTTGATTTGAGGAAAAAATAGTTTCAAATTAAAAAAGTTTTCTTTCATTCCTAACTTACAAGAGATGTTGGTATAAGATGATTGCTAATTTTTACATTATTTATTCCTTAGTTGACAATATATTATACCTCATTCTGTCAGCACATAAGCACAATCTCTTCAAACTACACAGGAAAATGTCCTTGTACATTCTCCTTCTCCTCCATCTCCACCTCCTCCTCCACCTCCTCCTCCTCCTCCTTCTTCTTTATTTGTTAATAAATTATGCCTCATCCTGTCTGCACATAAGCATGACATCTCCATACGACACAGGAAAATGGCCATGCACATTCTCCATCTCCTCCTCCACCTCCTCCTCCTCCTCCTTTTCTTTTGTGGGATAACCCTCAAAGATGGTGGGGTAAAATGAGTGAAAAAAGACACTGGCATCCTTGACTTGTTTCATTCTCTACTGGAACCAATGTTTTACCATTAAGTATGATACTTACTCTTGACTTGAGGTAAAAATTGTGTCAAATTAAGAGAGTTTTCTTTCATTCCTAACTTACAAGAGATGTTGATATAAGACGATTGCTAATTTTTACATTATTTATTCCTTAGTTGACAACATATTATATGTCATTCTGTCTGCACATAAGCAAGATCTCTCCATACTACACAGGAAAATGTCCTTGCACATTCTCCTCCTCCTCCTGGTCTTCCTCCTCCTGTTCTTTAGTTGATAATAAATTATACCCCATTCTGTCTGCACACAAGCATGATTTCTCCAGGCTACATAGGAAAATGTCCTTACACATTTTTCTCCTCCTCCTCCTCCTCCTTCTTCTTTAGTTGATAATAAATTATGCTTCATTCTGTCTGTACATAAGCATGATCTCTCCAGGATACATAGTAAAATGTCCTTACACATTTTTCTCCTCCTCCTCCTCCTTCTTCTTTAGTTGATAATAAATTATGCCTCATTCTGTCTGCACATAAGCATGATCTCTCGATGCTACACAGGAAAACATCCATGTACACTCCCCACTTCCTCCTCCTCCTCTTACTCCTCCTCCTTCTTCTTTAGTTGATAATAAATTATGTCACATTCTGTCTGCACATAAGCATGAACTCTCCAGACTACACAGGAAAATATCCTTGCACATTCTCCTCCTCCTACTCCTCCTCCTCTTCCTCCTCCACCTCTTCCTCCTCTTTCTCCTTCTTCTTTAGTTGATAACAAATTATGCCTCATTCTGTCTGCACATAAGCATCATCTCTCCAGACTATACAGGAAAATATCCTTGCACATTCTCCTCCTCCTCCTCCTTCTCCTCCTCCATCTTTTTTAGTTGATAACAAATTATGCCTCATTCTGTCTGCACATAAGCATCATCTCTCCAGACTACACAGGAAAATGTCGTTGCACATTCTCCTCCTCCTCCTCCTCCACCTCCTCTCTTTGCTTCTTTTGTGGGATAACCCTCAAGGATGGTGGAGTAAAATGAGAGAAAAAATAAAAAGATATGTTTCTTTCTCTACTAGATCCAACTTTTTACCATTAAGTATTATACTTACTCTTGATTTGCGGTAAAAATCCTGTTCAAATTGAGCAAGTTTTCTTTCATTCCTATCTTACAAGAGTTGTTGATTTAACATGACTGCTAATTTGTACATTATTTATTCCTGAGTTGGCAACATATTATACCTAATTCTGTCTGCACATAAACTTAATCTCGCCACACTACACAGGAAAATGTCCTTGCACATTCTCCTCCTCCTCCTCCTTCTCCTCCTCCTCCTCCTCCTCCTCCTTCTCCTCCTCCTCCCACCCCTCTCTTCTTTCTTCTTCTTTTGTGAGATTACCCTCAGTGATGGTGGGGCAATACTGGATAAAAATAAAAGGTATCTTTGGCTTGTTTCTTTCTCTGATGAAACCAAGTTTTTACCATTATGTATGATACTTACTCTTGATTTGTTGTAAAAATACTGTCAAATTAAGAAAGGTTTCTTTCATTCCTAACTTACACGATCTTTTAATTCAAGATGACTGCTAATTTCTACATTTATTCTTTAATTGATAATATATTATGACTAACCCTGTATGCACACATAAGCATGATCTCTCCAGCCTACACAGGAAAATGTCCTTGGACATTCTTCTCCTCCTACTCCTCCTCCTCCACCCCCTTCTTTAGTTGATAACAAATTATGCCTCATTCTGTCTGCACATGACCATGATCTCTCCAGAACACACAGGAAAATGTTGTTGCACATTCTACTCCTCCTCCTCCCCCTCCTACTCTTTCTTCTCCTTAAGGATGGTGGGGTAAAATGGGTGAAAAAATAAAAAGGCATCCTTGGCTTTTTTCTGTCTCTACTGGAACCAAGGTTTTACCATTAAGTATGATATTTACTCTTGATTTGGGATAAAAATCGTGTCAAATTAAGAATGCTTTCCTTCATTCCTACTTATAAGAGTTGTTGATTTAAGGTTACTGCTAATTTTTACATTATTTTTTCCTTAGTTGACAACATATTAAACCTCATTCTGTCTGTACATAAGCATGATTTCTACATACTACACAGGAAAATGTCCTTGCACATTCTCCTCCACCTCGACCTCCTCCTCCTCCTCTTTCTTCTTCTTTAGTTGATAATAAATTATGCGTTATTCTGCCTGCACATAAGCATGATCTCTCGATATTACACAGGAAAATGTCCACGCACATTCTCCACCTCCTCCTCCTCCTCCTTCTTCTTCTTTAGTTGATAACTAATTATGCTTCATTCTGTCTGCACATAAGCACCATCTCTCCAGACTACACAGGAAAATGTGCTTGCACATTCTCTTCCTCCTCTTTCTTCTTGTTTTGTGGGATAACCCTAAAAGATGGTGGGGAAAAATGCTCAAAAAATAAAAAGGCATCCTTGCCTTGTTTCTTTCTTTAAGGGAACAAAGTTTTACCATTAATTATGATGCTTACTCTTGATTTGGTATAAAAATACTGTCAAATTAATTAAGGTTTCTTTCATTTCTAACTTGCAATAGTTTTTAATTCAAGATGACTGCTAATTTCTATATTATTTATTCTTTAGTTGTTAATTTATTATGCCTCACTCTGTCTGTACCTAAGCATCATCTCTCCAGACTACATAAAAATATGTCATTGTACATTCTCCTCCTCCTCCTCCTCCACTTCTTCTTAGGTTGATAATAAATTATGCATCACACTGTCTGCACATAAGCATGATCTCTCGATACTACACAGGAAAATGTTCTTGCACATTCTCCTCCTCCTCCACTTCCTCCTGCTCCTCCTTTCTCTTAGTTGATAACAAATTATGACTCATTCTCTCTGCACATAAGTATGATCTCTCCAGACTACACAGGAAAATGTCCTTGCACATTCTTCTCCTCCTCCTCCTCCAATTTCTTCTTTTGTGGGATAACCCTCAAGGATTGTGGGGGGAAATGGTGAAAAAATAAAAAGCCATCCTTGCCTTCTTTCTTTCTCTAATGGAACCAAGTTGTTACCATTAAGTATGATACTTACTCTTGATTTGATGTAAAAATACTGTCAAATTAAGTAACGCTTCTTTCATTCCTAACTTACAAGAGTTTTTGTTCAAGATGAATGCTAATTTCCACATTATTTATTCTTTAATTGATAATGTATTATGCCTCACTCTGCACATAAGCATGATCTCTCCAGACTACACAGGAAAATGTTCTTGCACATTCTCTACCTCCTCCTCCTCCTTTTTTAGTTGATAACAAATTATGCCTCATTCTGTCTGCACATAAGCATGATCTCTCCAGAATACACAAGAAAATGTCCTTGGACATTCTTCTTCTCCTCCTCCTCCTCCTCCTCGTTCTTCTTTAGTTGATAATCTATTATGCCTCATTCTGTCTGCACATAAGCATGTCTACAGACTACACAGGAAAATGTCCTTGGATATTCTCCTCCTCCTCCTCCTCCTCCCCCTGCTCCACCTCCTCCTCCTCTTTCTTCTTCTTTTGTGGGATTACCCTCAAGGATTGTGGGACAATATGGTTGAAAAAATAAAAAGGTAGCTGGACTCGGTGGCTCAGCCTGTAATCCCGTGCCTTTGGGAGGCTTAGGTAAGTGGATTGCCTGAGTCCGCGGGTTCAAGAAACACCTGGGCAACTTGGCAAGACCTCATCTCTACAATAAATCAAAAATTAGCCGGGCGTGGTAGCACGTGCCTGTAATTCCAGCTACTTGGAAGGATGAGGTGGAAGGCTCGCTGGAGCCCAGCAGGTCGAGGCTGCGATGGCCGGGAGCAGCCACTGCACTCCAGTCTGGGTGCCAGAGTGAGACTCCAACTCAAAAAAAAAAAAAGAAAAAGGCATCCTTGCCTTGTTTCTTTCTCTAATGGAACCACGTTTTTACCATTAAGTATGATACTTACTCTTGATTTGGCGTAAAAATACTGTCAAATTAAGAAAGGATTCCTTCATTCTTAACTTACAAGTGTTTTTGATTCAAGGTGACTGCTAATTTATACATTATTTATTCTTTACTTGATAATGTATTATGCCTCATTCTGTCTGCACATAAGCATGACCTCCCCAGACATACCAGGAAAATGTCCTTGCACACTTTCCTCCTCCTCCTCCTTCTCCTCTCCTATTTCTTCTTCTTTTGTGGCATAACCCTCAAGGATGGTGGGGGGAAATGGTAAAATAATAAAAAGGCATCCTTGGCTTGTTTCTTTCTCTAATGGAACCAAGTTTTTACCATTAACTATGATACTTATTCTTGATTTGGGATAAAAATCCTGTGAAATTAAGAAAGGTTTCTTTCTATCCTGACTTAAAAGAGTTTTTGATTGCTGATGACTGCTAATTTCTACATTATTTATTCCTTAGTTGATAATAAATTATGCCTCATTCTGTCTGCACATAAGCATGATCTCTCCAGACTACACTGAAAAGTGTCCTTGCACATTCTCCTCCTCCTCCTCCTCCTCCTCCTCCTCCTCCTCCTCCTTTTTTATGGCATAACCCTCAAGGATGGTTGGGAAAAATGGGTGAAAATATAAAAAGGCATCCTTGGCTTGTTTCTTTCTCTCATGGAACCAAGTTTTTACCATTAAGTATGATATTTACTCTTGATTTGGTGTAAAAATTCTGTCAAATTAAGCAAGTTTCTTTCATTCCTAACTTACAAGATTTTTGGATTCAAGATGATTGCTAATTTCTACATTATTTATTCTTTAGTTGATAATAAATTATGCTTCCTTGTATCTGCACATAAGCATGATCTCTCCAGGCTACACAGAAAAATGTCTGTGCACATTATCCTACTCAAATATGAACTAAGTTGCTTGAAAAGATGAAAAGATGGCATGGTCACAGTGTCTCCTCCAACAAAGCTATGGCTATAAAACAGTTTCTTTATGAATGGACAATGATAGGCTTTCTTCTCAGGCATAGTTATCTTCTGATTATCTGGATGTGCACTTTTTCTACATTTCTCTGTGCACAGGAGGGCTGTATCTATTACTAGTAAGCACATTTGAAAAAAAGGATACAGAGAGTCCTATGAGTTCAAATGAGTACACAGACATTTTTCTGTGTAGCTCTTTCACTTATCAGCTATGAGATCAGAGATGAGTTTTTTAATTCCTCTGAAATTGTTTTCTCACCTGCAAAATATGTATACTAATATTCCACTGTCTAGCACTGTTCCTGATATACAGTACTAAGATCTGAATAAACCATTATAAATATACAAACATAGCAAACTGATATTAAATTAAAATGCTTACAATAAAGTTGATGCCGAGATGGTAGGTAGGTATTTATAAATGTGTCTGCATCAATAATGGGCTGCTGCATCAATAAAGATGTGGTGCAGACAGACTTACAAAGAATATACAGCAACAGATACCTACAAGTTATCATCTGTATAAGACTGGTTAAGAAAAAAGAAATTCTTCTCTATAAGACTGGTTAAGAAAAACAAATCTCACATACCTAGACAGCTCAGAAGCACTACCCTCCACTAATGGGGGGGATAATAGCAATTTCGTCTCCCAGTTGAAGCAAGAGGAGCTGATCTCCAAGCTCAACATATTCTTGACGAATAGCAAATATCACTTGATTTTTAACATCAACCAATCTGAAGGGGAAAAAATATGATTAGACGTACCAATGCTGTGATAAGCCACAAATCTCTTTAGCTGTAATTAAAGATATTACATAAATAACACTATGTGAAGCATTGCCTGCAAAATTATGAATTAACTCATTCTATAGGCAAAGGACATATCCTCTGAAGAACATACCTTTTCACTGCAAAGAACACATTAAACTGCTATCAACTCTTTATTAGAAGTTGTGTGTCATAGAGGATCAAACAACAAAAAAAACCCACCAGACTGGAAACAATATTCAAACCAGGTCAAAAGAAAATAAAACTTTCCAAATTCATGCATGGCCTTTCTAGGGGCCATCCACCTATGTGTACAAGCCTACTAAGTAAAGCTATAACATTTCCCACAAACTGTGCTTGTACACATTATCCTATTCAAATACAGAAAAGTTGCTTAGAAAGATGAAAAGATGGCACAGTTCACAGAGCCACCTGCAACACAGTTGTAATAATAAAGCTGTTTCTTCATATCTGGACAATGTAAGTTTTCTTCTCAGGCATAGTGAAAATGTGTACAAGACCAGGTGTCTCCCTGCAGGTAACAGATTCAAGGTAAAGTACAACAGAGGGCACACCATGTTTCATTGATTATCAGGCCATTGTAAGAACACCTTAAAAGATGTGAAATCAAGTATATAAACAAACATTGTTGAGTACCTTTTACAAAGCACTAGGACTTCCAGGTTAAACAACTATACCGACTTAAGTGAGACTATTAATATTCCCAGAACACCTTCCAGTAAGTCGCTTTCATATTTTGTTCCAAAAAAGACTTGAGGTAGGAATGACAGCAATGAAATTATAGATTTTCAAGAACCAGAAAAAATTTAAATAGTGAAAAAAAACTCAAATTCAAAGGCATCGAGGATTTGTTGTAGCTAATTTTTCTTTTAACCTTAGAAATTTCTCTTTACATTCCTAAAGAGGGGGCAGAACAAAAAAGATTAAAACACATATTTTTAACAAAATTTGTAACAATTTCATTTAATGTTATAAAAATGCAGATTCCACATGTATTTTGTAAATTATGAAAGAGGATATAATCATGTACCTCTGGGAGTATGCCAGCTAACTGTGGTTTTTGGATAAAATACCTCTAGCCTTCCTTAAAAAATGTTGCTTTTCTAAATACTAGAGTTTAAGTTTTCAGTAGTTCCAGAAAAATATAACTAATGACCCTTTTTGACAATAAGCATGGAAATTACCCTTTTTAGAAATGTTTATCAGTTATACATTTTTTAAATATAAAGAATGTGTTAATCACATTCATTCTAGCAAACATTTAACTACCCAGGATGCCGAGATTCTATCTCCTTCCACAGCTGCAATGCTTTTATTTCTTGTGGCACAGAAATGGTCTCTGAACGAACTCCTGCTATTTCAACACTTTTTGCAAAATACAATACTTCAACCTGAAAATAAAGAAAATGCTCTTAAGAAGAACTCATAGTCCTTTTCTGTCTACCCATGCAGAGACGTTTTCTCATTTTTCAAATGTATTACTTTAGTCAAAGACAAATTTTATAAGTTAAATGAAATCATTCATAAAAAATTTCATATGTCTACAAATACAAATTTTGAAAAACTGTTAGGTTTTAAACACAATTCAGACTAATTTCTGGATGTCTTTTAAGTGTCCCATAGCAGAAATCCTAATTATATATCTTTATAGAAAACATGCTAAGCTTGTCTTTAGTTGACATAAAATTACAGCACCTTTTATAAACACTTAAGCAATGAACAAATATGAGTCAAGAGATGAATTACCCAAATAAACTAAATGACCAGGTTAGCGAAAAAGCAGCCCCTTCATAGCTGTTAAATGAACTTTGTTTCCAGTCTACACAACACTGGATCCAGCTGCTGAAAATTAAATTATGCAACACACAAAACCTGACATTTATAAAAGCAAGAGGGTTTGAAATACAGGATAAACTGGTATTTCCTAGGACAAACCAGTGCCAACAATCTGTTATCCCAAGGATCCGATTAAGTAAAACAACTCGCCTGTCGCTCACTACAAATTGTTCTCTACAAAATAATCAGGTTTGCAAATAATCAAGGGTGTGTGCATCCATAGGTGAAGCACATTTCTTCACAAGAATTCCTAATTGGGTGCATTTCTTTATAGATTAAAAATTTAGCTTCGCCCAAGGAATAATCTGACAAAAGGGGGGATCCAAAAAAGATCCAGGAGATCCAGCTTGTCCGCGACGCCGTGACCTGGACACCAAGAGTTCACGGAGTGACTTGACTTCTGTTGGGGTGGCTGGAGCAAAGCGTCGTGGGGGGGGGCCACCACGGTGGTGGCTCTGGAGGTGACCGTGGCGGTGGCGGAGGCGGTGGTAGCCCGGAACCAAAGTCCAGTTAGGGGTGGATGTGTGTTGGGGAGGTCAGGATGGCCAAGCAGAGTCTGTGGAGGCTTCGCACCAGGTTCACACTCACGCACCCCTTCCCCCCGTACCTGGCACCGCGGCACCATCCCCCCCAAGTCCCCCTGGCCGATTCACAGCCGTTTTGTCCCGACGCCGGGTGACGCAGGGCGCAGGCGCAGGCGCAGCCTGACGGCACAATGCTGCTCCCTCCCCACGCGCCCGCATGGAGCATGCGCACTGCTTGCTCCGCCCCACTGTCCCCGCCCCTGGTGTTCTCACCGCACCGTGCTCCACAGAAGGATGTTTTCACTGCGAAACGGTGGGACGGAGTGGGACTCGTGGTCGCGACAGCGAACTTTAAGTATAGAAATGGAAAAAGGGATGACCACGCATGCCCTTCCGGAGAAAGATTATGGTGCAGGAGAGCAGACTCCGGACTCCCCGGGACAGCTGCCACCTGCGTTTGGAACCTGAGCTAATAACTGCAGAGGAGTTCAGGCTTTTCCCCTCGCTCCCCTTTAGGCTTCCCCTCGACACTTTTGGCTTTCTCGCCATCGGTATCTGATAAGTGTTCCTCAAAGACTTAGAGTATTTGCCTATCAGAACACTGGAACTCTCAGATTTCCACTTTTCCTGTTTACTAGCTCCTCAGTAATTTGTCCGCATATTACCCAATCCACATTCCCAATGTCTTACCATCAAGAACTTTCGGGCTTTACCTTGTTGGCATAGTTGTGTGGGTATGAGGTAAGCGTCCTTCCCCTTGGAGCTCACAGTCCTGGGTGAGAGATAGTCTCTAACGGGAATGGTGACTCCGGGTACCAAGGGTAATAATACTGGGTATATGTTATCTTTCATGAGATGGAAGGGAGAAAGTGACTGGGTCACCTGGGGCGTGTATTCTAGGAAGTCTCATGGCAAGGAGAAGCTTGAGCTGAATCTGCTGTTACAGTAGCAGCAAATGACAGAGTTGGGGTAGGAAGTGAGGGGATTTCATTTACCTGTGCCAAGTAACAGAGATATAAAGTAGCATAATGCATTCACAGGACAAATAGTTGGCAAGGCAGGAGTGCCCCCAGTAAAGAAGGAGGTGATGGGAAATGAGTCTTGATACGCCAGGTAGAAGACCTTGGTAGGAAAACTTGACAAGGACAGATTAATACCAAAATATGTTCTGGTAATGTTGCTAAGTATCAAGGTTAAAGAATTATATTCACAATTAGACACAAAGACAAGAAAATGATGACAGTGGCCTTAGACTCCTCAGTGACATTGAATGTCAGAGAATGGTGATGCGCAATATCTAAAAAAGGCTGCGAATAAAAGCAAGAGTAGAAATATTATGTACAGCCAAACTGCTATTTATAAAGACCAGAGTCTGCTACTCTTAAACCAACAAAAAATTCAAAAAATACAGTATCTAAGAACTCTTCTTAAAAATTCTTCTTGGGCAAAATATACACTCAAAAAGAGTACTCAAAGTAAATAAGTCAAAAAACTAAAACGACTGACATTGAAATTATAATCCAGTCAAACATAAAACAAGGGCGTCAATTATGGAATTATGGTTATAGAATAAAACATAAATGACACCAGGATATTTAAAAATCACAATAGAAACTGTTCAAAGTTGGAACATATAGTTACAAATCGTTTATTCAAGTTTCTTAGTATTTTCTATAATTTTATTTCTTTATTTTAGAAAATATTTTAGGAGTAACTATCTCTTGTGAACAAATAATAACCTAATGATTTGTAATTCCATCAATGTTTCTTATTTTGTTGTTGATAAATTCAAGTAAATATATGTTGATAATAATGCCTTTTTTCATTTTCATTTTGTAGTTATTAGTGAGGTGAATCTTTTCTTCTTTTCATTGGCCACTTGCACTTCTTGGTGAAGTTTATGTTCATGACTTTTACTCATTACACTGTAGATATGAAACATTTCTTTGCAAAATAGATGGCCCTACCTATAATTTGTAGCTGTGCAAGAAAAATTAAAACCAGAAAATTCCCAGCTTGTTTATTTTGCATAAAATCATTAATAGATCAGAATACAATATAATAAGTAATTTTAGGAACAACAAAACAACTTAGTAACAAAATTTGCTTTTCACTTAAGCCACACCTTATGATAAAAACATAATTTTCCCAGTTATTTTTAGCATGAGGATTCCTATTTGGTTTAAAAAAATAAAAATAAAAAAGAAAGTTGAGGTAAAAGCACTTTCATTTTATTTTCAGATTGAAAAAAGATAAGCTCTGTTGAGACTAGGTATGGGAGTATGTCAGACATTCACAGAAGGTGCCATTGAAAGATCAGAAATACGACTTTGCTTATAGCAACAAAGTATTTTTTAAAAATTCATTGCTTTTCCTGAAAAATAATTTTTCCCAGAAATTTCTGTCAGAATTAGAGCTCATTGTTTTAAAAGAAAAAAATTAGACAAATTAAATTTAGCAGGGTTTAATCAAGCAAAAGAATGATTCAAATCAGGAACCCCTATCCCGCACTCCAACCAGTACAGGTCCAGAAAGACTCTGAAGCTGCCACATGGTCACAGAAGATTTATGGACAGAAAAAGGAAAGTGACATGTAGGAAGAGGAAGTGAAGTATAGAAACATCTGGATTGGCAACAGTTTGGCATTTGCCTTATTTGAACATGATTTGAAAAGTTGGCCATGTCTCATTGGCTGAAACTCCATGATTAGTACAAGGTTGGGTCACTGTCTATTTACACATCCAATTAAGTTACATTTCACTTTGTGTGAAAAAACCTTTAGGCTGAACTCAAAATATGTCAGAAGACAGCTTTAGACTAAACCTAATTTAACACTTGTTAGATTTTTCTGTCAGTTGTTTCACAAATAGGTAACAGTTTTTTGTTTTGTTTTTCTATCCAATTAAAATAGTATAATTAAATACTTGCTATATCATATTTTATTTATTTTTTATTTTTATCAATATTTTTTATTATGATATTGTGGGATACAGTTAAGGGTTAGGTATACAAATATGCTTCGTTCAGGCACCCTTATTGATAAGAGGTGTCTCCCTGCCCCCAGACAGATGTTTACTACCATTAATCCCATCTCCCTTCCCCTCCCCCCCCCATAGTTTCCCACCACTGTCAGTCATTTTCTTATGATAATACGTTGGATGATCAAGGTCCACTATGTGAGTGAGAACATGTGATACTCAGATCTTTGTTTCTGTGAGAGGTCACTCAGTAGTATAGACTCTAGTTCCATCGGGTTGCTGCGAAATTCATGATTTTGTCCTTTTTTATGGCTGGGTAGTATTCCATCATGTATATGTACCACATTTTTTTAATCCAGCCCTCTTTTGATGTAAAAATATACCTGCACACATATGTTTATCACAGCATTGTTCACAATAGCAAGAACCTGGAAGCAATCATACATCAATATTTTAAACTGCATTACAGTTCAGCCTGTAATTGAACTGAGCTGAATTACTTTATACAAATTCAAGCTATTTATTCATTTACACATATTTCAAAAATCGAAATCCAAAAATCTTATATTTACACAAATTTAAACCATATTCTGTTTCCATTTCTGTCCAAATATTCTCTGCCATTATTTTCAGCTACTGAATAGTAGTTTGTCGTAGATATTCAGTTACCCATTATCAAGAACTCTTCAAAAAATGCTACTTTACTTCAGTGACTTTGTTTAAGCAAACCAAGGTTTATAGTCATAAACTATGTTTAAAAATATGAAAATTAGATTTTTATTTTTATTTATTTTATTTATTTATTTTTTGAGTTGGAGTCTCACTCTGTCGCCCAGGCTGGAGTTCGGTCCCACTCCCGTCCACCGCAGCCTCGACCTACTGGGCTCTGGCGATCCTTCTGCCTCAGCCTTCCAATAGCTGGAACTATAGGCGTGCGCTACCACGCCTGGCTAATTTTTTGACTTATTGTACAGATGAGGTCTCACCAAGTTGCCCAGGCAGGTCTCAAACACGTGGGCTCAGGCAATCCACTCATCTCAGCATCCCAAAGCGCGGAATTACAGGCTGAGCCACTAAGCCCAGCTGGGAAATAGATTTTTAAACCTCCATTCATGTATGCCCCTTTATTTCAAAGTGTAGTACAATTTTTGAACAGTGAAAATATCTCTGTGTGAGGGAATTTGGATTGTGTGGGATGAGATCTACAGACACTGGACATTAGGCATTAAATATTATCTTTAAGGTATTTTTAACTGTATTTAAATTTCTCATTAAAAAATAGGTGATACAGTAATTTTTTGAAAGACTAGTTCGACACAAGCCCATCTAAAATTATTTTCTTTACAGATCACTGAGAATTTCAAGCACCTTTCCATACAAATGACTTGTGAAGACATAGAGCTTAGCAAGTCACTGATGAATGGGCCAGCAGAGTGCCTTGCACCATGTAGGTGTATAAAATATTGTTGAGTCAGTTTTATAATTTAATTAGATAATTAAAAAATATCGCATCCTTGTTGTGTAATATTATTCACTGGTCATTTTAAGTAAAGGCAAAACCCAGCATAATCTATATGTACGTATTAGTTTATTCAAGAAAATTTCAATCAAAAGAAGCACACCTCCTTATGGTTAGTTATTCCCATTGCAACAACTTCGCCTTACAATTAAAGGAGGTAACTACAAAAGAGCTTTTTGCAAATATGTTCTTCACTGATCATCTTCTAAAATCCATATATACAATCTCCCATTTTCAGATGTCAGAGAAAAGCCACATCTTGAAATTTTATTTCTGCAGAAATCTAAGATATTCACAACAAATAAATTTTTAAGAGAGAAAAGTATACCACATGGAAGTTAGCCATTGAAACCAAAGTTATTTTATGTGCATAGTGTGGCTGTAGAAAGCTTGTAACACTGACTGTTTAGAAGCATGAAGAAGAGGAACTGAAGAAAATAAAATCCTGAAAAATATCACCAAAAGGGACTCAGTGAAGCAGAAATTTTCATAGAAATATAATACCACCTTCATAGGAATAGAAGTTGGTGAAGCAGAAATCTTCATAGAAATAAGATCTGAGACAGTTTCAGGTGAGGGGAGAGATGAATCCAGAGCCCTTGGT